AAAGTGTTGGAACATGAAAACAAAAAAGAGTGAGGCGTGTGGTAAGAGAGGCGGTATGAAAGGATGTCCTCCAGCCCAGACACTCTCAATCAAAGCAGTCAGTCTGACTCCAATCACAGCGCGTCAGGAACGCCACGGTGTTCCTCAACCACCTGCACGCCCTGTCCAATTACACTGTCAGGAAAACGTGGCTCTTAATTGGATCAGGTGTGTTCGAGCTGGAGCAACAACTCGCAGCACAGGTAAACACACAGAAGTGGTGGGTTGTATTAGGAGAGACCTTCTGTAAAATATTAAAACGACATGAGCGAGGTAGACGTTAGCATGCATCAGTTATGTCGAGCATAAGGTGCTGATTGTGATGTGGTGCTTGAATGTTACCATGATTCATGGTGCAGCATCTTTTGAAAAGGCTCCACAGTAACTCATTCATTCTCATACAGAAAGTGTGTGTGTGTCTCATGACTCACGTGGCTAACATTTATCCCCTCTGCCACTCCTCCTCCTTCTCATCTTTGTGGATGTAGACATCACAGGGCTCGCTCTGTCTGAGTGCTGTACCGACTGTGTTATGAATGGAGGCACACGCCTACGTACACAGACGTTTGCCAGACACACACACACACACACACACACACACCGTATATAGCACACACACCCCTGTGTTTGTTGAAAGCATGATGTAGCTCAGAAAGAAGAAGGCTCTACAACTATTAAATATATATAACTATATTTTATTACATATTTTTTGTATGTGAAGTGAATTTATTGAATTTATTTATTATGAAGATTAACCTTATAATCTTACCACCATATGTGTGTGAGATCTCTAGTGCTGAATCAGATGTCTTTGAATTAACATGATGCTGTGTTTTTAATAAAAGCTGTGTGATTTTATTTATCTTCTTCATCTCCTACTAGATTTCATTTCAGCACCAGGAGCTGTCCACACTGCGGTGATTTACACTGCTACATCTGTCCAGCTAATGTTTTAGAGCAAAGGAAAATGGTTTTAGTGGAGGGCTAGATTTGACCGCAGGCTATTTGCCGAACCCCTCCGGTACTTTCAGATGTTTCTGTGACCTGGTACGTAAAAGGAAGGAGAGGCAGAAAGAGGAGATAAAGTATCAGCAAACAAACAAGAGGCGCAACAAGAGGATGAGAGAGATGGATTGAGGGTGGACTTGAATTGATGGTGTTTGGGCTCCCAGGGCCTCTCCGGCAGACAGACCGGGGCTCTAACAGTCTGAGTCAGAGGAGTTGGCATGAGGGAATACATTTCCATTTCTAATCTTGGCTGGTGGACTGTCAGCACTATTCACATTTCAAAAACAAGCAGATTTTTTTGGGGGGCGGGCACTGCTGCACACGAGCCTCAGTCATGATCTCAACATGTCTGATGAGTATCAGACATGTCTGAGGAAAGCTTTTTGAAACAATGTTCATTTACATTATTTTTATCCCAAACGTAATATCATCTCACCTTATTCTTCTAGCAGTAGTAGGAGTAGCAGTAATAGTGTGTGTGTGTGTGTGTGTTCCAGGAAATGTGCAACAATCTTATTGGATAAGTCAATTTCCTATTACACCTCTCAGCTGACACCCTGACAACTACACCTATCCACACACTCTCTAACACACTCTTGTCACTCATGCACACACACACACACACACACACACACACCCAGTCCCAAACTCATCAGCACTTTTTTTTTTCTCCCCACTTTCCCCAGCATGCTCCATAATTATCACATAGCAGCTCATTGCACACTGTGCCATCTGTTAGCTGGCACGCACACACACACAAGCCCACACGCGTGCACGCACGCACCACCACGCACATGCACAACCACACACTGCCAGATGCTTGGGATCTGGGATTAATAAGACAGTCCTACCAAGTATAACTAAGTTTGCAGCATATCATTAACAATTTGCAATAAGAGGATGAAGAATCTCATTAAGAGCAGAGAAGCAAATTTAGGAACAAGCTCAGAATGAACTTTTCTCTGTCACATGGAAACTGCGCCATACAAGGAAATGTCCTAAATTTATATTTTATTAAAGCATCGCAGAATTATCTTCATGGTAATAAGTTGCTATATTAACAAAAGTATGAAAAACACAGGGAAAACTAACATTCCTGTGTCTCAGTCTGCCAAAATCCTGCATAATGTAGCTCTGAAGCAATGAATTAAAAGTAAATAATGGAGTGATTAAATAATAATTTATTAATAATTGAGTCAAATTATAATAATAATAAAAACAATGAATTAAAAATACAGGGCATATCTTCAATAATCTTCAATAAAGCACCACTGAATTGAATTAGTACTTTGATAACTGACTGAAGCTTCTCGTATTTTCTATTGTTGAGTGTATTTGGGTTTGAGTTTGAAAGCATCACCTTGAGCTTTGGAAAAATGGAAGCTGTGTAATGTTCCTTTTTCTTTTTTTTTTTCTCTCCTGCTCTGTTACGACCACATGATTGATTCCTGAGTTGAATTACCAACAATTATAAAGATCTCAGCGTGTCAAACTTTGATAAGATTTGCCTCGTTAATATTTCACTCAGAGATGAAGAAGCCATGACATCTGTGTGAACGGCCGCCTTTCAGTGAGACGCAGACATTCATCCCGGCTTTTGAATGCATCACATAGGATGAAAAATCAATTGTGATATTCAAGACTACACAATATCATGTTTGTCCATTAGACACAGATACAAAAACAGGATCAAGGAGATACCCAACATATACGACATCTCAAACTTGTGTCCACTTCCTGACACCTCCACAATAAAAGACAATCCAAACTGTTGCCAATACGTCAGCTGCAAAGTCTGCGTGATCCTGACCAGAAGACAAAATTGTATCACTGCAGGCGCCATCTTTACCGCACGCTACACCTGCCAGGACCCTTTTGCAGCATCCAATTAAACATCAAGCAGCTGTGACATCATGATAAATGAGACCTGCTGTATGTAATTCATATATATGTTATCATGTAGCTTCCTGCACATCAGTCAGAAAGCTGGAACATGATCAAACATCCACACTTTCCCTCTACGCAGCTTTACAAGGGATTTTTACTCTGTGTGTGTGTGTGTGTGTGTGTGTGTGTGTGTGTGTGTGTGTGTGTGTGTGTGTGTAGGGGGGAACTCCCCCTCTTCAATTATTTACAGGCAGCCCTCATGCATCTGTGACTTTCAGCGACAGACTGAGAAAGCCCAGCAGAGCAGCACAGATCTCCTTTCTTTCTCTCCCTCTCATCCCTTTGTCCTCCCCTCTGTCTTTTTCCTTTTCTGTATAAAACTGTGTCCTCCTTTTCTCTCCATCTCTTTCTTCTTCTGTCCAGAATCTTTTACTCCTCGTTTCAGTCCTTTTCCTCCTGTCTACAATCTCTTTCCTCCTTCCTCGCCATCTTTTCCTTTTCTTTCTACCACCTTTTTCTTTCCTTCTTCTCCATCTCTATCTCTATCTATCTTCTCTCTCTCTTGCTTTCCTCTTACCTCACCATCTTTATCCTCGTCTGTCTCCAATGTTTCTTTCTTTCATCTTTTCCTCCACGGTCTACAACTTCTTTCCTCTCCATCTTCTTTTCTTCCTTTCTATCCTTTGGACCAATTTCTTCCTTCCTCTGCGTCTCTTTTCATCCTCTCTACGCAACCTTTTCACTCCCCTTCACATCTTTCTCCTCTCATTTCCTCCATGTCCTATTTCTTCCTCACCTCCTTTGTTTTGCCTCCCTACCCGGTCCATCCTTTCTTCTCCCCTCCTCTTCTTCTTTTATTTTTTTCATCATTTGTCCTGGCCTCACCTTTTATTCTCCTCACCTCTCTCTTTCATTTCCCTCCTTTTCATCTCCTCTCCTCTCCCCTCCCACCCATTTCTATTCCCCCCCTGTCCTCTCCCTCTATCACCTCTCCTTTTCCTGTCTCCTCCTCCTTTCCCCTCCTCTCTGTTGTCTCCACCCAAAAAAAAGGAAATGAAGGGGAGGAAAGAGGGATGATGTCAGGTAGAGGAGACATCAGAGGAGGAGTGTGAACTCTCTCAGCGTGGAAATAATTCATATTCTACTCCTCCACTCCTTCTCTCCATCCACTTCCATATTCTTCTGTGTCATTCTGTTTGCTTTTGTTTCTCTGAATCTTTTAGCTCAGGGAGGAAATGCTTCTGGAAAGTTGGCAGTTAAACGCATTATAACTAATAATTAACAAATAATGAAGTAATTAATGTTTTTGCTTGTCCATAATGTGACAAATGCTTCACTTGAGTCCATTAAAAGCTATTTATCTCTGCTTTGTCTAATGAAGCTGTCTCCAGGTTGAGGTCTCTCACATTGTCCTCTGACATGTAAAAAGCTTTTTGTGTTATTCTGCGCTGCTTGCTCCGTGTTCTCGTCTCAATCAAAAAAACTCAGCTTTTCATCAGAACCTCAGAGCAACTTCATATCATTCTTTATTCGTCCAAGGCTCCCAGTTAACTTCTGACATGCATGTTGATTGAATTTCATTTCGTTTGTCCCTCAAATTCTCCCTTTTTAAACGCAATTGTATAATTGAGAGCTACTGTTTGACTGCACCTGCAGCAAAGGTACTTAATGTTACTGTGCACAAGAGCTGAAATGCAGAGCATGACACGCAGATAAATCAATAATCACCATCGTTTTGCCTGTTTGTTTTTTTTTTAATAATTAATAAAAGACACACATCAACTTCAAATGTTTGTCCTTGCTCCCGTACATGAAGCAAAGCAGAGACTCTATGATATTTTTTTTCTATTTCCCTTTTATTGAAATCCTGAAAAGATCAAAACCAAACACCTGGGACCTGGATGATCATCACATGTTCTGCAGTGAAATCCCACAGTTTTCTGCGATTATTGTCTCTAATGGTTGGAAGCAACCCACCCCCCCCCCCCACGACATGCAGCTTCTGTCCAGCACCCATGCTCACATATACAGTATACTGTGTGTGTGTGTGTGTTGTGCACGCTCACCGAGGAGTAGAGGTGACCCTCTCCGTTCATGGCGATGTAGAGGCCGGTCTTCACTGATTGGATGGCCACGACTCTCAGACCCACAGGAATTAAGTTAAACAGAGCTGAGGACCAAAAACAACAAGACAAACTGAGTGTGCGTGTGTGTGTGTGTGTGTGTGTGGTTGTTTGGTTTTGGTTGTTTTTTATATTTATTTAGAGCCTCCTCTCTCCTTTGGCTCCTGACACTAATATCACCTATGCTGGAAGATATTATCTTCTCCATCTCCTCTTGTCTACACATCTTAGTTGCACTCCATTTCATTAGCATCGAACTTTGCGTCCAACCGCCCCCCTCTTTAGTTTCTGTCACATGCAGCGTTGACGGCTGTAGTAACACATAACATTTATCCGACTGAAACGAGCAATTTGCAGCTTGTTTGTGCAAAAACCTTCCGAGAGGTTCGGCCGAAGAAAATGACAATGTCCTTGAATTGAGGCCGATTGTATATTTTGACCGAGATAATTTAGTACATGACATTTCAATATCAGCCAATCGTTGTCTCCGGCCCGGGCTCGGGCTCGGGCTCCCGTCAGGTCAGTGTTATTTGAAGAAGAGCAGTCGGTGACGATAAAGGAACAGACCACTGATCACACCCTCATAGCCTTGGGCTGGTATTTTAAAAGGCAGTGCTTGTGTCACTGGTGTTTTCTTTTCTAAATCCTTTCCTGTCATTTAGTTCTTCCATTTATTTCACTCATAAGATGTGAAATATTTTTCTTTTTCCCCCTCTGAAGGAAATATTTTGAGGCCGTAATTGTAAAAAGTCAAGCTTCCATATCCATGGAGGGGGGGGGAGACAACCCCTCTGTAACCTGCATGTGTCTTATTATTACAGAGGTATTGATTAGCCTCGCTGACAAGCCCGCACAGTCCAGCTGTTACGACAGAAATGACCTGCTGGTTGTGAAGCACGAGCCTCTTAAAGCGTCACATATTTGTCTTCTTAACCCTGGTGTCGTCCAGCCTTTCAGACAGTGTGGCTTTTTATTTCTGTCTGGTTTTTTGGGGTTTTTTTTGAGGAACCCTTCACTTGTGGACTTTTGACATATAAACATGTGTTCCTCTTTAAGGTTATTACAGTATTTCCAGTAGCTGTTGTCGGATCTTTCTGCCCCTCTTTGATAAAAACTGCTTCTTTTGTCCTTCCAGTGTTTCTTACCTCCACCTTTCTTTTGCGATGTGTGGATCTTGAGATTCACTCTCTGTCTCATTTTAAGGGATGTTTTCATCAATTATTGATACTGTAATTTTCTCAGGTGTTCGTGACTTGACTCCCGTCTCGTCTGGCTGTGGCTGCAGCTTATAGATGTTGTTGTTTCCCGCTGTGAGCTTGATGCCTGCCTTTGAAATCTCCTGCTCTGCAGATTTCTGCCTCCACAGCAGTGTGTTTCTCTTAAAAAAACAATGTCCCAGATTCTCTGGATAATCCACAAACCTCACTGTCAACAGTTTTTTTTTTTGTTATTGGAATATTTTGTCAGTCTCATGCTTGTGTCAAACAGTGAGCGGATTAGCTTACACAGCTTATTTCCGCACGGTTATCTTAAAACATGCTTAACTCTTTCATTTAGTTTAATTGTCTGAGATCAGCTGAAAATGATGAGCGAGTGATATCAAGGATGGAGGAGTTTTCCTGACAGCTTGAATCGAAGACTACTGTTTATTTCCTGGAGCCACTGCAACACTTTAAAGGGCGTTGCTTAGAGAAGTGTGGGCTGACGCTGTTGATTTAAAGGAAATATACACATTCATACTAGTGTGTAATTGAGATATTATAAAATCGAACACAACAATGACCTGTAGTGAAGGCCGTGGCAGCGGATGTGCTGTTTAGGACCTCACGCCCTGCTGGTTTCCTCTCTAATCAAAGGTTGCACTGATATTGTTGCTAAATCTCTCTGAGCAACCGGCGTTTCCCGTGTCCAGGGTTGAGCAGGAGAAATTGATCAGAAGTACACCTGCAAGTAATCATCCTTGATAAATATTACACTTTCTAAACCACTGTCACGCTCATGCACAGGTTTCATTAATGTTGAGGATATGCAACCAGCTGATTAGAGACGGCAACAACCGCTCTCTTTAACGCTTGCAGGAAAATGTCACCGGTGTCGCCTCCCCGCTGAACATGGCTCTGCCAGACAAAGTGAAAGCTTGGCAACAAGTGCGAGTAAATTTTAAAATGGTGACGTGTAGACATTTGCCAAAAACTGATGCGAAGACATAAATAAATAACTCGTAGTAAACAAGTGGCTGCAACAGGCGCTTGGCAGAGCGGCCAGCTCAGCCGGAGTGGAGAGGACACTTCGGGCCAGTGAGAGACGCCTGCTGTCGTTATTACCAATTAGCATTTTGATTTTCTCCATGAGTGGCACATTAGAATATTGCAAACGGCAACATTTATCAATAAGCTGTCCATCTGCAGCTCCTCCCTGAAGGCTGTGTTGGGCACAGAGGTCCAATAAACACAGCCTTCAGAAAATGAAATCCTCTGAGCAGCCACTTGTCGCGTTCGGTCGAACGGTTGGAGTCCGCCCTGAAAACACGCCGCCTGTTAGAGCCATTATGAAAACACCATATATATTTTTTCCAATCTAAACCAACATTAAAAATGACTCTCAGTAAATTAGTAGTATAAATACTACAACATATAACCGCACCAGGTCGTGACTGGAGTCTATGAGTGTGTGTGTGTGTGTGTGTGTAGTGGGTCTACTCACAGGAGTTGGTGCTGTCGTCTTTGGTCCCATCCAGACTTCCATCCTGGCCCATCTGGAGATAGAATCCCTGTCTGCAGAACAACCTGGTCACTATGCCCTTCAGCTGTGGTTCTACATGACACAGACCAAGAGAGAGCGAGAGGAGGAGTTGAAGCGAATTCCCCCTTTTTCAAATCGGGACATGCTTCACGCCGTCGGCCTCAGCAGAATGATTTATATGCGATTTATGTACAAATGCGTCGCCCTGATTTCAATTTGCACACACACACACACACACACACACACACACACACACACACACACACACACATATGTTGAGACGGCACGTTGGAGATACAATACAGTTTGGCATTAAAGACGTACAACCTGCTGCATCCTGGGGGATTTCCTCTGGAGAGACTAGTCAAGCACATCCAATCCATTACAGGATTCTTGGACTAATCCTTCCTCCGCCGTCATTGTTCCACTCGAATGACGTTGATGAATTCTTTCCGAAGCTTTTGATAGTAAAGAGCCGCCTTATAGTGTCTTTGAAGCAGCTGCATCCTGTTTACTGTTTACAGCATGTTTCTTGGTGTGATTCCCTTTCCCAAAAAACTTGGATAAATGTGTGGACCTCTCGTGTTTTCTCCACATTATAAAGCTCATCTCTAATAGAAAGACAGACACGGCTTCACTGTACTTGAAAATGCGTGTTATTGCCACAAATTATTGGATTTTGACAAATCGACAATGCTTGAAAATGCAGATGTTTTGCTCTTGCCAGTTTGGTTCTTGCAGTCAAACAAGAGATGCCTGAAATGAAACCAAGCGACTAAAGAAAGAGAGCGAGAGAAAGAAGGAGCGATAAAGGAGAAGGGAGGGAGCCGAGGGACTGAGTCATCGGAAGACTTTTGGACAAAACAAAGTCTGACTCGACCTGGATGAGGTGATATAATGGAGCATCCTCGGCAGGTACAGACAGGCTTTTATTTTTCCGTCCTCTCATCACCCCATTCTGCTGCAGATGCAGCGCTTTTATTATTTATTTTCACACACACACACTTACATGTGACCACACCCATTCTCACATCAGTGACTTCGCCTCCGTCTGCACCGGCTACGAGCAGGGTGGGAATCCCCTTTGAACATGTGTGTGTGTGTGTGTGTGTGTATAAAGGTATACCCTAATGGATAGAGACGGAAAAAAAAAAAAAGAAAGAAAAGCAAAGACTGACCCAGTTTATGAAGAGTGTGACAGTGTGTGTGAGAGAGAGAGAGAGAGTGAGAGAGGGAGGCAGGGGTGTTTTCCATCGTTGTGAAGGATCCATCTTGTGCAGCAGGGGAGCAGGAGGGAAGAGGAGCCTGTAACCAGCTCTCTGACAAAATCCCCTGTGATGCCGTCAGTAATAAATCTTAGTCAGATTAGAAAGATAGATATTACGTGTGCTGGCAGGGATCAGCCACCTCGAGGAACGGCGTATAGCTACGCGCAGATGACATGTACATCTTCCAGGTTGATGTGTGTGTTTTCTCTCCTCGCTGCAACTGCAATTTTTTTTTTTTTTTCTTCTGACGAGCACAAGCGCAGCGCAGTCCCTATTTTCACACTTTAAGTAAATATCATTCCAGCTGACGTGTGTGGCGTTCCTCACTGCTTTGTCATTCAAGAATAACAGTTCACCTGCCAGACATCATGAACACACACACACACACACACATTTCAATCTCTCTGTCCTTGTTTCGCGTGACGCACGGTCTGAGGAAACTGCTGGAGATGTTACTTATTGTGTTCTTTGTTTCACCTGTGTTTCATTTCTGAAATCTTTCGCATTAGACGAGGAGGCAGAGCAGAGAGCGAACCTCACACACATCCCAGTCTTTCCGTCCTTTTTTCAAAACCCGGCGTGATATGGATATACTGTATCGCAGCAGGTGCATCTCAGTGGCAGCATGTAATATATGAATACCTCTCCGCTGATGGAAAATTTCAAGGCCACGCAGTTTTATTTTGAAAGGAAGGGCTTTGTAGAAAAAACATCTAGACATGAAGAAAAATGTTTTTATGTTCTGACTGAAACTCGGTGTCGTCTCATTACTGATATTAAACTGTAGGAAGCCCTACACTCCACACTTAACAGCATCATTTTTACAGACACTAAAATTTTAATATTCTCCTAATTAAACTCTCTTAATTAATTAAACGTTTTTCTTTATTTTCTTTAAAATGCTGCCTCGTAATATGACCTCTGTTTTCAGATCTTTTGCTTGTGAACTAATTTTGGTCAAACCTCTAATTCATACAGAAAGAGGCAACATTTATTATTCATATTCTGCATCTGTTTTATGAATACGACAATACACAAAATATGTATAAAAGTTGTAATTTAAATAAATATTTTGGCTGTATGCTCTATGATTAATGTGAGAATAGCTACAATAATCAATCACATCGAAACAGAAGTCAATCAACTTTCACTTTAATCCATAATCTTGAACTAGTCATTAGTCATGTAATAAATTAGGACAAGAAGAAGTGAACCAACACATGAAAGCAAATATAAAACGCTGATGTTTTTAAAAAAAATAGTACAATTACATTTATCTTATTTGATGTGATTTATGATGCAGAGATATAGATTTGTAATCACATCGTCCGTCGTATATTACAAGCATGATTACAGCCTCCAGTGGTGTTGTGGGTGTTGTTTGCATAACTCCCTGCTGTACTGGATGAAAGATCAATACTTCTCCACAGGGGGCTGCCCCGCTGCATCAACTCATCTTCTATTTATGTGTCTATCCAGCCGCTCGTCTGACATCCATTTATCCATTTATACTCAGAGACCGACCTGACGTGGCCGGCCGTTGCCACAGCGACATTCCCACAGTTGTCAAGGTGATATTCCCACTCTTCCCTGTATCTTCGCATCCGGGTCTGTTACTAGGGAAATTCCCATTCTTGCGTTGCCACGGCAACAGTCTCGTAATTCCAGACTGTTCCAGTGGAAGGGTATTCCCCCATCCACACACACACACACACACACACACACACACACAGCTTTATTTTCACCATAATGTGATCTGATTCAATCAGTCAGGCGGCCACGCTGATTTGACATGTCGTATTGTCTGTTAATTCGCCCCAGTCTGACTCTGAATGCACAGTTTAACGCACTATAAAATATCATCATGGGTGTCTCATACAAGCGACGTATCGAAAAAAAACCCTCTCCTCTTTTTATACACACACACCATCTCCCCAAACAAAAGCACCCAAGTGAGGAATTCACAAGCAGCAGCTAAACGCACCCATTTCACCCTCATTTACATCCGAGTGATTACTGATTAGATGAACACGGAGGGTGCTGAAAAGGGCAGATTTGTTGTTAAAACACAGATCCTGTTTAGAGCAGTCAGATCAGCTACAGCACATGGGCCTCGTATGAAATATAGCAGCAGTGGTGCAGTTCGATTATGTATCTGATAAATAATAAAAGTCCTTAACCTGAATTTGTCCTAATGAGACGTTGTGTTCAAATTCAAACGAGTCTACCGGCTGGCTTTAAACAAACCTGCTCATTACTATGCGTTGAGTGAAATGCATGAGAACACGCTGTGCAGATAGTCGGTCCATCACAGTTCTAACAAACAGACAGACAGGTGACCGTGTTAACCACAGATCTGTCTCACTCTGAATCCCTTCATCTCTGTCAGTAGTTTTGGTGTTAAGAATATTGGCACTGGTTTTCTGAATTGGAGAGAAAGAAACAGTGAGTCAAGTTCACGTAGCAACCGAGCAGCTGAGGTGTCTTTTCATGTTTGTTCCTCCTGGGGAGGAGGGGGCCGGGGGTCTGGTGGTTCCTACTCTCATGAGTAAATGCTGATTAAGATTTGTAACTCATTTTTACTTTTCTCATCTTTTTGCTGTATTTGATTCAGGCAGATTTCAGCAGGGGAGGGGGGGGGTGTCCTGATGTCCAGGTGGATGGGAATAAGGGGCATCTTGCTTCTTATCAGTATGAATGAGCAGCAACTCGACATTTAGGGTCCTCCCGCATCACTAGACGAATCCTCATTCTGGCATATCTGTGATCTCATTGTCTCGGTCGCTACACAGAGTTCATGACCATGAGTGAGGACGGGGACGCAGCATCAAGGAACCGAGTTCAGCTCCCTCAGCAGCCACAGAACCTCAACCAGCTGTCTATTTCAACCTCGTAGCTCCCCTCATTTCAAATGAAAACCTAGACATACTTGAACTTCTTGGAACTGACACATCAGTGATTGTGAATTAGGGGTTTTTGTGAGTCTCAGTGAGGTTGGGGCAAATGATTTTGTAGGGACATCTATGAGAAAATGGTCTGAGGTTAGTTGAAGACAAAAATATCTGGACCTGCTTCTGGAGCCAGGCCTGAAAACCCGTCACACCCGGCAACCAAAAGCAGGGATGGCGCAGACTTATCTATATATATATATATATATATATATATATCGATATATCTATTGTACGGGACATTTTCTGTGACGGATTTCACTGTGACAAAGTTACTGCATTACACTGACGGATTTGCAGCTTTTTTTCTTTACATCTTCTTTGGGTTTTAGACTGTGGGACAGGATCTGTGTGTACAGTTACATCCAGGTACACTGCCTGTAGAAACAGGAAGGTTTAATAGTCTCCCCGAAGAGAAACAACTTTGTTTTTTATGTGTCTTAAATGAGATTGTAGACATGTCATGTTTTATTGGTTATTATATAATGATTTCATTGCTCCACCTTTTAGTAAGAGTTGGAACTTTTTTGTTGCACACTTTATTCGTGCAGCTTGGGACAGGAGACAAAGCTTTTTGTTTGTAGTGTAATGTTATACATAAGATGTTATGTACTACCAACATATGTTTCATCACCAGCAGAAAGTAAAGACTCAATCTCCGTCCTTGTTTGTGTGACACGTGTTCGGAGGAAGCTGCTGGAAACGTTATTTACCATCTCTCATCTTTTTCTAGAATATGTCACATCTTCCGCGTTTCATCGGTGACGTCTTCATTTATAAATCAGCGTGAAATATCCGTCTCCGGATTTGAAATGTTTCGGAATCAGACGAAGAGGCGCGGCGGAGCGTTGAACCT